CACGTCTTTCCTCTCCCCCTGACAACGAGCATGGATGAACGCTACCCAGGCGATGGTGTAACGGCCAACAGCTTCAGCCGCCGCCACCTGCACGAGGACGAGGCACGCCTCCTCTACGAAGCCGACTACCCGGCGCCGCCGGACATGCGGGTGCCGGGTTCCTGGAGGCTCAGCGCCGGCGGCGGCCCGGTGCCTCTAGTGCCCACTGGAGCTGATCGGCGTGCCGAAGTCACGCGCATCTGGTCCTCGCTGCCGGCAGCGGCGATGAATGAGCTGAGGTACGCTTCCGACAGCAACGCGCTGTGGACGGCGTACTTTGCCCGGCGACACGAGGATCGGCTCGCCTCCACCAATGGTGTCGAGCCTCGTGGCCTCCTCAACTTCGACGGACGACGCCAATGGTGGGGCGACCCCGACCGCACCCTCGAGGCCGTCCTTGAGTACCCGGCGCCCCTCCTTCTCTCATTGTCGCGACAGCTCCTGGACGTCGCGGCGAATGGAAACGGCGACATCCTCGTCGTTGGGCTTCCTCTCCTCCGGCTCGCTGGCGCTCCACCCCGTCAAGTCGGAGCCACAGGAGACGCCGCTCAGGCGCCGCACCCATGGCGGCGCCCTCGTCATCAACGAGGGCGCCATGGCCCCTCTCCTCCCTCTTCCCGCCTCATCAGGCTGAAGACCGAGCAGGGTCTTCTCCCCGTGAAGAAGGAGCACGAGGCCATGGCCGCCGCCGACGAGACCGCCCTGAAATGGGCGCGGCAGGACTACGTGCGCGAGGAGATGGCGTGCCAGTGCCGCGCCCTCGAGGAGATCGCCGCTCGTCACCGCGGACGCAAGGAGGGCCACGCATCGGCGACCCTGGTCAGGGGTGCAACAGGGACGGCGGCCGCACGCAGGACGGCGGCGGCTGCGACTACACCAAGTTCTACAGGTTGCTCGGCATGTAGAAGGCGGACGGCGGCGACACAGTAGTCGTAGTTTTAGTTGTCGTTTTAGTTGTTTCTAAATTATGTTTTTAGTTTTTTGTACAAATATCAATGAAATCATCTAATTTGGCCGAATTTTGTGTCGTGTTTGCCCGATTTTCGGCCGAGTTTGGTTTTAAAAAACAGCGTCTCGGGGCGACCTTGGGGCGGCGGCTGGGAAACCAACCGCCCCCACGCTGAATTTATCACCGGTTCGTTCCCAGGCAGCGCTATTTCAAGCCCGGAGGGACGGCTGGAGATGCCCTTATGTTATGGGAAGTCTTTTTTTTTAGACCTATGTTATGGGAAGTTGTTATTGCTGGTGTGGATCTGCCGAGCCTATGAGAATGGGGGAAAACATTCAGTTTCCTTTACCTGACGCAGGGCAAAACCTGACACCTCCAAGACAAGACACTCCGTGGTGCTTACCCCTGATGAGAGCAACACTGGTGAAGCACAAGTCAACCCTTGCTGCCTGATGTATGGTATCATATCATATCATTCTGCTCCCTGTATTGTAATTCTCTGCCCACTGCCCTGGGTTGAAAGTTGGAACCTGCAAAGTGACCGCCTTTAAGCAAAAAGGAGGAGTTGAAAAGGTTGCAAGATCTTGGTTATATTTCACGGGGTCAATCCATCCATCCATAGCCGCACTACTGTCTTCTCTTCTCCAGCGGACAGGTAATAACTACCTCAGGCGTCCGATCAACTTGCCTAGATCCACTAGACGTTATCATCTTCGACCTAGGAGTAGCTACCTAGTGGCTGACAAGCTGCACACCAGGTGCTCGATCATATGCGCGGCAGAGGCCCGCATTCTCTTTCACGCTGCGAGTGACAGTGTATGGACAATCATTTGGTTTGGGAATTGAGGGCACAGGTGTCTTGTTAAGCAGGGAGGAGTGAAGAACATGAATTGCATCTGGCAATTATGCTTTTTGGGGTTTTCATCGAAAAAAGAATAATATGCTTCCCGCGTTGTGTATGATGGTGTGCCCAGATGAACGCATTTGCCTTTCCGGTTCCCATCACTCGATTCATCTGATGAATCTGCTTTAATTTCTCCCAACAAGTGTCACTTCGTTATCCCTTTTTTCTCTCCATCTTCTTTATTCGTTCATTTCTGTTATTGTCAGTCTGTGTTAATCAACAGGAATAACTGCACAAAATGCAGCTCCCTCAAATGAATGGTTCTTCATTAAACTCAGCCATTTGGCACAAGGCGATTTTAACATCAGTATAAGAGCTGCTGCATGCAAGATATACACGAGGTATCATTCCAATCCACCACTTTCCATTAACTTGAAAGTTTTCATGTTCAGTTACAGTTATGAAGATACGGTAAGCCGTAGCACGAGGCAGAGCAACCAGAGGATCCCTGACTCACTCATCATTATGAGCTTGAATCCTATGCTGTGTTAAGATAAGTCAACAAAAGCCTCTCATTATCGAGTCCACTTACGCTCTGCAAATGGCATGGCATGTAGAGCAGACAGGACATGTTTCTGCATCGCCTATCATCGGCCTACTCCTTAAGCACTAAGGAAGAAATCTGTACCAAAGGGCAGTTATTCCAGTGACTTTTATATCATGATGATTTTTAGATAGGACAAGATACTCTTGGGTGAGCAGCTAATCGCTATACGCTTGCTTTGCATGCAATTAGGCAGGCCAATCATGGAGGAATGGAACTTACTTAGGGGGCTAGCCGATATATAGGTTTGCACTTTGTACTGATGCGTATATTAGTAGACAGTAACATCCTTGTTAAGAGATGTACTACTAAAGAAGATGCATGCAAGTGGTGAAGCTTATAAGTGAAAAAGCTAAGTGTCTTTCCAGTAAAGCTCCCCACATTACATGTAAAGAAGAGATACTAAACATTATGTTAAAATGGAATGTGAGGAGCTGTCGTTGCATGGAGGATCAAGAATAAAGTAACACTTCTTTTCTAGGTTATATAGAAAGATGGTACAATTCGATAGACTCCTTAGGAGTCGGTGAGAATTTTGAGGCACATGTAGGTGCAGCATGGAATCGCATGCACTGCTTCCACATTTATGTAAAGAGATCGGAGTAACAATAGGTAATCCAACTTGTCGGGTTTAATAAACAGATAATATTTGGGTATAAATCGAGATATATCTTTGGTAAGTAAGTAATGCAGGAGGGTGGAAACTACCCTCCCAGTTAATTTACCAAGGGCTCATGTATGCAGAATTGATAAAATGTGCATTTGGTTTACTGAAAATTATTGGTGTAGCAGAATGCAAGGAAAACATAAATTTTATTTACCTCAAGTCTATCAATTATTTGTTGCAAATTGATAAATATTCCTGAATTTATTTTATTGATCAGTAAAGAAGTACAATGAGGAGTGCTTTTTACTGTGCCACTACAACAAACACTTCCTGATGGTTGGACAATGTTGCAGGTATTCTTTTCTATCTCTATGCATACATTTATTTTTATTTTGCGAAAGTCTCTACGCATATGAATAATTGCTTCTGTTAACCAATTTGTTGATAACTACTCTATCTTAGCTTCTGAAAATAGCTTCGTAGGTATGGTACATTAGAATATAGTGCATACTTCATTTGCAGTTAGAAAACCACTTGTGCAGTAACATCAACATTCATCTCATATCCCCCAATAGCTGAGAGAATTTCCATCTAATTTGAAGGCTTATTCTCCAAGACTAGGACATTCACTACACTCGACAGAAGTTCACATGCGTTTCACGTAGTACTCTCCAAAGCTTACATAATGCAACGAGGCAAGAGTATGAAAGCATCTTCAGGAGCATGTTCAGGTTCAGTGTTACTGCTGTCCAAATTGCCAATTTCCGGCAGAGCAAACTCCCTTTCAGGAAAAAGACTGAGGTGGACTGAGGTTTCAGCTGGAGCTCCAATAGTCACTGCATCCCCCCTTGAGACACAAGGTCAGACAAAACCGATTAGGAGATGCACATCCACTCGACCACTTGTGTCCCATTCAGTTTCATGCGCTCTGAGGGCGGGTGTATCGGCTCATATTTCCATTTCCACTCCACCTTGCTCCTTGACTTGGCCTTGAAATTTTGATGGACCGAACGTGATTACGATCTTTCTTGCCTTATCAGCAAATAGCCCAGATACATCAGCTCTGACTTTTTTTACTCTACTTTCTCTCTTCAATGAACAGGCATTCCTCCCGCCATCCTTTAAAAAAATTACAGTAGGTAAACATGAGCCATTCTATGGAATCATAATTTGTACCAGGAACTTCTTGCAACCCATCAGTGAATTTCTTATATATCGCCATCATTATCGCTTCATGCTTTTAGTTAGGCCCCACTACTCCACTTTAGTACTCACCAAGGTCCCCCACAAAGCCACCTGCCTTTCTCATCAAATGCCCCCTCACTTACCTTTAATTATTCCATCTCACAGTTAACTCAACACCATAAAGACCTCTCGCACACACTCTCACAAATTGCACAGACAGACACAGGTAGTAGTGAAGTACCAGAGCTACAGCTCGGCGAGGCCATGAAGAGCTCTTCAGTTGCACCAAGCCTGAAACAGGAGCAAGGAGATGCTAGCAAACTGCAGGAAGGTGTCCTCAACAACCTTGAGCTTAGGCTTGGCATCTCTTCAGACAATGGCCTGAGTAGTGGTGGTGGTGGTGCTACTACTCCATGGCTTGGTGTTGGAGTGCACCCTTGGAGCCTGTCCGCCAGGCAAGACAAGGCGGCCCTGGAACAACCTCAGGAGAGGCCTAATGAGTGTCCTGCCCACAGGTTTGGTTATCAGTTACCACAAACCAGTTGTTGTTTCTTCGCAATCATGTTACGAAAATAAGATGGTATATAGGCTGAAACGAAGTACAGTTCCGAGTTCTAGTAATACAACCTAGATATAGCTTTATGAATGTAAACATGCTTTGATTAAATGGGGGCTCGTGTTTGAATAAGTTTTAAGTTTGTCCCTATTTTGATCTCACCAGAACATATTCTGGAATAGTATATACAGATGTCAATGGAACATAGAGAATTTGCATGTAAGAGAGGGGAATGCGAAAAGTAAAAAAGCAAATAAATACGAAGGTAAACAAGATTGTGATAGACAAAACAATTCCCTCGCCAAAGAAAAGAAAGATAACAAGCTAGAATAAATGAATTGATATTGCGGTAACATACTAGCATGTCTCAAGTTTTTATGTCTTCGTTCGCCGCAAAAAAATGGTGTATGTCTTGTTGTCATGAACTACACGCAAAGAGGCGTGGAATCTTGCTGGCTTGTCTGTCACCGTCTCAGCAAGTTTCGCTAACAATTTTCAGAGAAGATCGCCCTCAACTGGTCGGATGGCCACCGGTGCGCACATTCCGCAAGAACCTGTCCGCCACATCCACAAGGCCTGCATATTCTGAAGACCTGAGTAAAGTGGAACACTGCTATGAAGAAGAAGACCATGGAAACATAAACACTGGAGTTGCAGTACAAGAGAGGCCGGCCATGTTCGTGAAGGTGAACCTGGAAGGGTACGCCGTTGGGAGAAAGATTGACCTGAATGCACACCGCGGCTACGGTTCGCTGTCTGGTGCTCTGCAGAGCATGTTCCATGGCTTCTTGTCAGGTGACAATCCTTGGTTTGCACTGCACTGCACACTATGTATGATCAAACTCCATCTTGCTCATGTTCACTGACATATATGAGCTGCTTGGTTGATTTCAGATGGCCACGGGAGGATTGCAACCAGAGGGGGTGAAGAGCAGCTGGAATATCACAAGGGCAAGGGCACGATGAAGAACTACATCCTTCTGTACGAGGACAACGAGGGCGACCGCATGCTCGTCGGCGACGTTCCATGGGAGTAAGTCGAGGGAGTGGCCGGCATATACGCCGTTCATTTTTGATGCAAGTTGAAGTGGTCACTGATCGATCTTTCTTGCAGGCTGTTCGTCGCTTCGGTAAAGAGGCTCTACATTGCCAGGGACCCTAGAGCTGACAAAAGCAATAAGAAGTAGAACAACGGTGTGTGTTCTTGCATAACAGTTGCACACCGTTTGTCCTCACAAAGTTTACTGCATTTATTTGTCGAGTGACAGTACTACCGTGTTGCTTTCTGCGGTTACAGGATGATCAGGTGTGAGGCAGTTCCTGTGCATCATCTAGCCGACTGCAAATGACAACAGGAGATTGCATAGCTCCAACCTGCACGGATCATGCAGATATGGTCTTCCCCTCCAATGAGCCCACCTGTCGTGTGTCTAGGGGCGTCGTGTGATTAATTACTCTAGGAAGTTTTGCTTGTGCAATCGAATAGTAGAAGATAGTGGATTAGCTAATGTTCATGTAAAATAACGCAGGGTGTAATTATGTACTGTACCATATATGGTGAAATAGGTAGTACGGCACCGTTACACTAACATGCTAAATCTTCTTCTCCTCGGAAGCGTTTTATCAATCGGCGTGCAGCTTTCTGCTCTCATCGTAGTTTGTTTGAATGGCTGCATGCATCGATTGATGCAGAGGCCGGAGGCTCTGTCTCCTTTTCCAAAAAAAAAACGTAGTTTGTTTGAGGAATTTAGCCTCTTCTGTGGGAACATGAATCTTGTCACAGAAAGGCGCAAGCGCAAACCAGTTTATGCCTTTTGAGTCTGGTATTGAGGTGGATTACGACAATCCAGTTTAGTTTTTACCAAGAAATCAGAAGGAGCAGCTGCCTTTTCATTAAGGAAGAATATTACATGTTGGACATGTTCTGGAAGGGGACATTGCCAGAAACTGTTGGCAACCCACCACTGATTCACTTCTCACGAACACGAATTCGAGTTACAGGCCTTGATACAAGAGGAATTGCTTGGAGAAGTTCAGAGCGAGGAGGAAGAGAACGGGGATGACAGGAAGTGTCGTGCCGTTTCGTGATCCAACCGGATACCCTGGATTTGACTACATTCTCCATAGGTCCCTCGTAGATCTTTCTTCAATCTTGAATTAGGGAAGGATGAGATATTCACGGCTACTGACGGTTTCATTGTGGGCGGGGTCTGTACTTGTAGCCTGCCAGGGCTATGTCTAGCCCGTACCGATTCCTATTAGGCCAGTACTGGGCGCCGGCGCACCGGCCGAAACTTTCGGCCGGTACAGCCCCAGTCGTTCGATTCACGTAACAATAACCGTCCAGATTGCATCTCCTTGCTTGCGCGTGGGTCAAAGCCTCCTCCATCCTCACGTACAGGCTCGTTGCCGTTGGTAGCTTGCTCACCGGAGCCGCTCGTCGGCGCGCTCGCCGGATCTGCTCGTCGGCTTCCTCGCCGGAGCTGCTCGTCGGCTTCCTCGCCGGAGCTGCTCGTCGGCTTGCTCGCCGGAGCCGCCGCTCGCCTGCATGCTCGTCGGAGCTGCTCGCCGGTGCGCCATGTGCGGTCGAACTTCGCCATGGCTGTTGCAGCAAATCACGTCGCTGGACGCAGCTTTTTTTGTGGCCGGTTGTAGCAAAAATCACGAAGCCATGTGCGATGTAGCAAAATGCGACACCGGTAGTAGCAAAATACGATGCCGGTTGTAGCATATTGTGATGCCAGTTGAAGCATCTAGCAAAAAAGATGTTGGTTTCAGCATCCCTGTGACAACGGTGGTCACATGTAGCAAAAAACATGGTGGCCATGCGATGTAGCAAAAAGCGACGTTAGATGTAACTGTGTGGGACGCCGGTTGTAACAATTTGTGACAATGGTGGTAACATGCAGAAAAAACACGGGGTCGTATGATGTAGCAAATCGTGAAGCCGGTTGTAGCTGCGTGGGAAGCAGCTTGTAGCAATTTGAGACAACGGTTGTAGCATTAGGGAAACTACGATGTGGGCTGAAGGTAGAAGAAGGGGAAGAGATAAGATAGAAAAGAGAGCCAGATGCGTAGGACCCGCCATGTGCGGGAGCAGCTTTGCATGCAGCAGTTTTGCGGAGAGTCAGGTGTGTAAAACCCGCCATGTGCGGGAGCAGTTTTGCATGCAGCAGTTTTGCATGCGGCTGCGCGTGCAGGTCGTGCTGCATATGCGGGGGTTTGGGTGTGAGCGCGAGCGGCCGGCTTCGGCCGGCGCGCCGTTTCGATACATTTCCCTTCCTATTATTAGGAACGCCTACCGACGAGTGAATCAGGCCGGCCGCGCAACCGCTCGCCGCCGCTCATGCTTCGCTGTAGGTTCGCCTCCTCGCTATGTTTTTCTTTCCTGTGGTTTTTCTTTGTTTCTTTGTTTTTTTTCCTTTGTTATACTTCCTTCTTTTGTTTTTTCACTGGTTTTCTTTGATTTTTTTCCTTTCTTGGTTATACTTTTGTTTCTTTCTTGGTTTTCTTTGTATTCCTCAGTTTTCTTTGCTTTTCTTTTTGTTACTTTGTCAGTTTTAATCGGTTTCCTTTTTTTAACACATGTCTACTTTTTGTGACTACACAATATACATTTTTAGTGCACACGTGAAACATATGTTTTGATACACTTTGGACATTTCCAAATACATGATGTACATTTAAAAAGATGGTAAGGTTTTTTCAAATACATGTTGTATATTTTTTAAATGTTGATAAACATTTTTTAAGCAAATATTTTTCTTACACTGTATAAACATTTTTGAAAATTTCACGGACATGATTTGGAAACATGCAAGTATTTTCTTTAAAATTTCATGATACATTTTTTTAACCTACGGCGAACATTTGTTTACATTTGTATACCACATTTCTTTGAAACGTGGGAATATTTTCATCAAATGTGACGTACATCTTCTTAATGGCACAAAACATTTTGCGGAAATGTATTGTCAAATTTCATAAGTAAATTTATCTATTTTTTTACATATATGCATTTAATTTAGAATATAAATCTCTATTCTTAAAGGAGGGTTGGTAGTCTCGTCTCACTTCCACTAACACTATATTACACTCGCGAGTCTTACAACTGGCTCATTTAACATGTGCATTAACTCAATCAAATCAGCACTTCCCGAAAACAACATCATGGATTAACTCATTCAAATTGAATCTTAAGAAAATCATAACTAAATCCAAACTTCCTTGCCTTAAACTACTCATACTCAAATCAAATCAAGTCTTACCAAAACATCAATTATAATCATCTCCACTCCTAAAGGGGGAGTTGGTAGTCTCGCCTCACCCTCACCAACACTATATTACGCCCATGAGCGTCTTACACCCGGCCCATTTAACACATGCATTAACTCAATCAAATTGGCACCTTTCCAAAACAATGTCATGCATTAACTCATTCAATCAAATCTTAAAAAACTCTCAACTAAACACAAACTTCCTTGCCTTCTACTACCCATACTCAAATAAAATCAAATCTTACCAAAACATCAATTATAAGGTAGTATTTAGTTGGCCGGCCCATTCGATGCATGCACACATTTTTATATTTTATTTTTTCTATGTTTCATTTTTTGGTTCCTTTTTTTGTTTCGTTTTTCTGTGACCAACCTATTATTTTGTGCTCAACATACTATTAAAATTGGCACATGCATGCACACCATGGTTAGCTGGTGATACGTCTCCAACGGTTCTATAATTTTTTTATTGTTCTATACTATTATATTATCAATCTTGGATGCATTATATGCATTTATATGCTATTTTATATCATTTTTGGGGACTAACCTATTAACCCAATGACGAGTGTTACTTCCTATTTTTTTGCTTATTTTTGGCTTTTCAGAAAATCAGTAGTCTAAACACAATGAAACTTTATGGTGATTTTTTCTGGACCAGAAAGGACCTTAGAAGCTTCGAGAGGAGGCTAGAAGAGCTACAAGAGAGCCATGAGCTCACAGGGCGTGCCCCCTGAGCTCATGGGCCCCACACAACTCTATTTGACCTAATTCCAAGCCTATAAATTTACAAATATTCTCAAACTAACAGAGGGCCACCCGAAACACTTTTTCCGCCGCCGCAAGCTTCTGTTCTTCTGCGATCCCATTGGAGGCATTTTCTGGTACTCTGCCGGAGGGGGAATCGATCACGAAGGGCTTATACATCATCATTATTACCTCTCGGTGATGCATCAGTAGTTTACCACAGACCTCCGGGTCCATAGCTAGTATCTAGATGACTTCTTTTCTCTCTTTGATCTTCAATATCATGTTCTCCTTGATCTTCTCGGAGTTCTATCCGATGTAATCTTCTTTTGCGGTGTGTTTGCTGGGATCTGATGAATCGTGGGTTTATGATCAGATTTTTTATTAAAAGTAATTGAGTCTTTTCTGAACTTTATTATGCATGATTGTTATAGCTTTGTATTTATCTCTGACCTATCCATTTTGTTTGGCCAACTAGCGCCTGTTGATGATTTTCCAGAGAGTTCCAACAGCAAAAGAACCAAGGTTACTGCTCCACAAGTGAAGAGGGTCCCGACAGGGCTGGGTGGCATTGATGGTACTTTCACCATCAGCGCCATCCTCGATGACAAATAGGAAAGCGCGCTCGTTGCCTTCCTGGGGGCGAATATCGATGTATTTGCCTGGCAACCATATGATATCCCCAGTGTTTCCAGGGAGGTAATCGAGCACCACCTTGCTGTCTGCCCACACGCCAGACCTGTCAAGCAGAAAGTCTGAAAGCAGGCCTTGGAGAGGTAGCAGTTTATTGTAGAGGAGATCAAGAAGCTTGAAGCGGCTGGTTTGGTCAGAGGAGTGATACATCCCACTTGGCTAGCAAATCCAGTAGTAGTCCAAAAGGCTAACGGGAAATGGAGGCTTTGCATAGATTTCACAGATCTCAACAAGGCCTCCCCGAAGGACCCATTTCCCTTGCCGCACATCGATTAGATCGTGGATTCCACTTCAGGCTGCGATTTGCTTTCCTTCCTGGATGCATATTCTGGATATCACCACATCGTCATGTCCAAGGAAGACGAAGAGAAGACCTCGTTCATCACCCCATGTGGTATGCACTGTTTTATTCGCATGCCATTCGGATTAAAGAGTGCCAGGTCTACTTTTGCAAGGGCAGTCCAGATTGG